TTCTCCCAGCGGTCCCGGTCCCATGACTACCATGATGTCGGGAACTGCTTCGCGTCCTTCTGGTATGCCGTCTAACACCGCTTCAGCGACGGGTGCTTCTGGTTCTGGCGGTCCTGGTAATGGTAACGGTCCTTCGGGTACGGGTGCTGCTGGATCCGGAAACGGCGATGGCCCGGGCAATGCTGCACCCGCCAACATGGCTTCTGCGGCTTTGGGATTGAGCGGTTTGCTCGCGGCTGTTGGACTTGTCTTGTAGATATGGTCGCTGCAAAGCTTGGTAGTACGGATTATGGGTGGTGTGAAGGTAATTTATCAGGTGGAAGTTGCTGCTGCTTTGGGTAGTCGATCGGTTTAACGACTTCAATGAAATTTAATGTCTCAGAAATATTGTCCAGCATCTATGACTGATTCCACAATTGCATCCATCGCTTTTGTTGACCTATCAACTACGCTCAAAGAAATTGCTAATCGCTAAATCGCATTCGCTCACTGAGAAAACATGCTTCTGATCTCCGCATCCTCCTCCTCCATCTCCGCCAGCTTCTTCCCTGGCAATCTGACAGCGCGATCAAGCGCAACAGGCAGACCCCTGTGCCTACCCCTCAACATAACCAAGATCATGACAATCTTGCTTCCCGTGTACATGCCACCACTGAAACTGTAGGATTGATCCGGCAACCCGATACTAATCCCAATAGTTGTGTATCCGCTCACAATCTCAAACAATATGGTAAACACGCTGTATGTACGCGGGTCTTCGATAGAATGGTGCGTTTCGATGATCGCGATGAGGAAGAGCGCAAAGGCTATCCACCATACATCGTGCGATAGTTGGCCCCGGACTTGCTGGCTTATGAGAGAAGGAGGTCGGGTCGCTGGGTGCGATTCAAGAGAATGGATTGACATTCGGTTGAAGTCCATAGTCACTGCTCGCTTCAAGGGTGCAGGTGCTGCGGGTACATTGGCGACACCGACACCCTGGAAGGCTGTCATACGGTGCTGAAGCTGACGGCCTACAAAGGCAGTGCCGCGACGGCCGACTTTGCCGAGAGACTTGATAGGCGCCAGAGACGTCTTCTCGGACTGTGATACAGCGGTGGTCAGAGAAGGCATCGCGGCATCGACATCGAAGAGCGAACTGGATGCTGAGTGCAGTTGCTCTGGCTCAGCCTCGTCGCCCTCGTATATACCCAGTGACCGTTCTTCGTACACATTGGTCTTGCGCATAGTGATGATGTGAGGGTACGCCGCGGTGTAGAAGACAACGAGCCACAGAACCTGTACGTCAAAGTACATTCCCGAGGGCGAGACGATAGCGTAGCCTCCAGTTGGAATGGAGAAGCCTTCGAAGAGTGAGATGAAGATGCGCTGCCCAAGTGGTATGACTTCCAGCGTCGGGTTCCCAATACTGAGAATCAGAATCAAGATCCAGTCTATTGTGACAAAAGAGCCGAATGTTGCGATGAATATCCAGGTGTCCCGCGCGGGAAACATGCTGGTATACACACGACGTGGAAACTTGAGAATAAAATCAAAGCCTTCTTTCCATACGCCATACTCTTTGTCTTTGGAGAAGAGATCGAGAAGTGTGGACATGCTCCAGATGAGGAAGCGTACAAAGACAGGAAAGGCTGCTGGTCCGGCGAGCGACAATATCGTTACGATGACGAGGACGTAGTATGACGACTGGAAGGGTATAAAGCCTGCGTCCAGTAGCGTAAAGCCGGCGTTACTGTACGCAGAAATAGCGAGAAAGATGCCGGCCCACCAAGGGTTCTGCGCATTAACAGCGCAAGCTTCCCTTTCGTAGACGGACATGTAGGCGCCTAGTGCGATTCCGCCGAAGAACTGCCAGAGTATAAAGTATGCCGGTACGAACATGGAGAGGAACTTCAATGCGCGGTACTCGACACCACCCAGGTACTCTCGCTGATCTGAAGATAGGTTGAAGAACTGCCCGTTGCGGCCGATGTTGCGCTTTTGCTCGTTGACGAAGGTCTTCACGTTAAAGCCATCGCCTACTCCATACTCTTCGGCCAGTGAGCGGCGACGTTTCGACATGCTCTGGTGACTCTGCACGTTATAGATCGAATGTCCTGTTGTATTTGCTGACATCGGTCTTTCATGGGAGACGCGTTCTCGTATGGGATCCAGAAAACCGACATGCTGAGCCAGGGTCCTTTCTCTTGCACCAGGTGAAATGGGCGATAATCCGGTTTGCGCTTGGTTTTCCTGGATTGGTGTACTGGGTGGCATATCCTCAACGCATGTTTCCAGCGGCGTGGCCACCTTGGATTCTGCTGTCGGTCTACTTCCCTTCTTGTTCTCCCCAAACGACCCCATAATCGGCAGCCCAAACATAGCTCCCGTCATTCCTACCACAGCCCCGACCTCGCCCTTCCGCGCATTTCGCCTCTCTTTTTCAGCTTCGACAATATCCTCGAACCTCTTCTCGAAGATGTGTTTCCTGAAAGCAACGGTGAAGTAGCTGACCAGTACCTGACTTCCCATCATCATCAGTACGGCTAATTCCACCTGTTGGAACGTAGTGAGCTGGCTGACGTTCACAGAGTTGAGTCCAGACGCGGTCATGGCGCTCATGCACATAAACCAGCTATCCCACCATCCAATGCTCTTTGATGGGTTTGACGCGCCCCAGAATATAATTGTACCCAATAGGGTGACACTGATGAAGTAGGCATAGTGGAGCGTGATGAAGTTGACCGGCGGGATGTAGGGCTTCACGGTCTCAACGAGCGTGCGTATCTTAGGATGATTCTCCTCAAAAGCTTTCCATTTTTCTTCGATCCGGTCCATCCTTGTTCAATTGTAGTTGCAGTAAACAGTTCCAGATGGGGCGACTGCAGATCGTATCGGTTTCGGGTTATCGGAGTAGCATGTCGCGCAAGTTGTTGAGAAACCGCGATCAATTGTTTGGGAGAGTCGCACAAGAGTCGCGGTGTGTAAATCCAGATTTCGAGCAGAAATGTTCGTTTGATCAACGCGCAATAGACACTCAAAGAGAGAATAGAAGTTTGTTAGAAAGTCGAAGAAAGGAATGTGAAGTGACGTTTTGGCTGATTGCGCGTGTGCTGGCGAGTACGCGCCCAAATATAGCGATAGGGGATAAAACAGGGTCTAGGGTGGCGCGGACACGCCGGGAAAGGAAGGGCCGACCCTGCAGACCAACGAAACACCACGATAACGTTCATCCACATCGTCTTCATGCACTTCACCGCTTCTCCCGGCTTCTAGCAGATCTCCGTTCCTCTTGTGTTCGCACGCCATGCTTAGACCTACCCATGATACACCTGCCTTTTCCTATCTTCTATTGGATGTTTCCGGCAACAATGTTCGTGGCCGTGCTTCTGAGCTTTGCGATGGCTGTTGCAATCGAGTGGGCTACTTAGTGTGTCACAGACATAGAGGCCTTACGTATCCACATTCACGTGCTCAACGGGTAAGGCTGGAGGACAAGTTGATGCTGTAGTCGGGTTAAGCGACAGGTGCGAAGGGTAGAAAAGTAAGAGCGTGGATCTTTGGTCGGTAGCCTCATGCTACGACCGCTACAGTAGAGCGCACACACAAAAACACAAGTTGGTCATGCGCGACATTGGTATACCAGGAGTTGGGTAGGTCTCCTACCAACAACGTCAACTCCATTGGCCCGATGTGCATCTGTACCATAGGAGTTTCTCTGGACAACTAAACTAAGTCATGGTCCTGGTTTCTTTCAGCTCAAGGCACATTGGTCAAACAAGAAGCAAACCTTTGAAATGTATCCATGGTTATATGGTCGCTTTAACTTGGTAGCGAAGTTGAATATTCTTGCAATTTCTTGATACACAAGAGTTTCGTGGTCTTCTCTTGCTTCACCAAAATCTCCTCAGACACACACATTCCAACATACTAAGTCTCTATAGCTTAATCATAAGAGAGCCCAGCTGTGATCACGCTCGTCAATACACACAAAACACATACTTCGTCACCATTCACCGGGTTCCCAACCATCCAGTCTCACCAACCAACGAAACAAAATGGGAGAGATACATGCAAACTCCCCTCAGCAACTGCACACCCGCACGCTACAACATTTCAAGATGATCGAAGATCTAACCACAACCCTGCACGAAGACATACAGCGGCAATACCAGTACCACAGTGTTATGTACGGAAATCTAGAACACGAGTACCTATTCCAAGCGATGTTGGCATGCGATCAAGAGATGAAGAATCTCGTCACCGAGTACGAGAAAAAAGTCCAAGATCACGCATGTGGAGAAAGAGCAATTGGGCTATGGGCCGGTACTGGCGAAAGAATCAAGCAAGCTGCGCTTTGGAAAGAGTTCGAGAAAACGTGGTGCCGGTTGCAAAGTCCTCGTGCACGATACAAGGGTGTTGTAACCCACTTTCAAGAGGAGATTGTTTGGTGGGAGGCGAATTCTACTGAGGTTTTGACACCTTCAGTCGTTCGTTACAATTCGGTGCCGTCGCCGCGTTCCTTGGCCGAGGAGCTTGACGCTACGGATCTGAATGCACAGGATAGGGAGCTAGCTGAGAGCTGGCGGGGTGGGATGGGTATTGCGGATGAGAATGAGGCGGCTGTTGATGGTATTGCTGCTTCAGTGCAGGATAATGATGAAAGCAGCACCGCATCAACCGAAAGCGATGAAGACTCATCACCAAGCCTGGAACTGGCTCGTCAATGCGATGACGGTAAGGATGAGGTACACACAGTGCTGCTTCCGAACGATCCAAGCGCTGATACACAATTCATCGGGGCGACGCGTGAATGCATGAACGGGGACGGTGGCTACTCTGGTGTGGTTTTTGATTGAGTTGATTCATACCAGCTCTGTTGGTGGTCTACGCTTCTGGATGTACTTTTCAGGGCGGGGTACGGGAGCTTGGGTATTGGAAAGGTTTCAGTTTATCGGCGTTCAACGTAGTCTATTCATGTGCTGTCATATATCTCTTACAATCACAGGAGCACTCCTCCGTTATGTGAGCTTGAACAGCTTCCCGCCTACACCATTCCATTCTTCATCCCACCGATGTTCGCTCTCCTTGAGTGCGCCCTCCTTCAGCGTCTCTCTCAGCCTTGTATCGTTGCCGAAGAAAGTAGCCAGATGTAAGGCGAGCTCTTCAGAGCTTTGGAAGCCAAGTCCATTTACACCCTGCTTGACGAGCTCAGGCCAGGCTTCGAACTTTCCCCAGCCCACAACTGGTAGGCCTGCACCAAACATGTCGACCACTTTCATTGGCAGGTCGACACCGGAAGATGATGTGTGCAGAGAGACTCCTAGATCAGCGGACGCGAGTAGAAGCGCGTAATCGGAATGTGTGAGCCATGCTGTTTTGATAACGACGTTCAAGAGCTTCTTCTGCTGATTGAGCTCCCTGATCTTCGAAAGGTAATACTCCTTCTGAGGGCCTTTTCCAGTGATAATAGCAAGAATCTTTGGCAGATAGGTCTTAGATGTACACTCTGCAGAATAAGCTACGAGAGCGTCGAGGAGAAGCGAGAAGTCCTCGTCGGCAGTCCAGGACGTGGCGCTGACAATGAGTTTCCATGGCGTCTTCGAAGTCGCAGAAAGATCTGAGGCGTACTCTGCTGTTTCCGGTAGTCGTGCGAGAAACTTCTCCCGATCTCGTTGTTCAATCGGCTGGAAGATAGATGCTGGGCGATCGTGCAGTGCTTCTGCTGTGACGCCGTAGTCGTTTTTGAGCACGCGGGCCATCGCGTTAGTCACCGTGAAATGATGCGATGCCGCCTTTGCAAAGATCTTCTCGTACTTCTCAGAGATCTTCACAAGAGGGTGGTTGTCGCCAAGTTTCATAGCCAGAATGGTGTACCCGAAGTTATGCCAGTCGATGACTAGATGAGTACGTCGCAAGAAGCATACCAGGCTTGCTACAGCAAGAGTTGGTATCGAAGGTGGGTTTTGCACGAGTGTCCATCTTGCGGGCTTAGAGCGGTAACTAAGCGCGCGATACAACGACCATATCTGCCAAAGGACTTTGAGAGGTGCCAGAATTGGAAAGAGAAGTTTGCTGCTCGAACGCAGAAGGCTTGGCGCTGGTGACAGTGGAATGATCTCAATTAGAGGATTTGAGACGATCTCAGGAAGAATGTCGGACTCTTCGTGGGTTTAGCCGCTTGCTGCATCTGGAAGATGGTTCTTACTAACCTTGATAGCCGATGAGAAACACTTTCCCACCATGTTTGGCGATGCTGAGAGCGTGGTATTGCATGCGTGGCGACCGTCCGATGTCTCCCAATACCACCACCTGTACCGAGCGGCCCTGCTTCCACTGCATCGGCTCTTTCCCATCTTTCATCTTCATTTTGATCTCCTTTCCATCCTCGCCCACAAACCGAAGCGGCTTATCCTTGTACGGATCATACTGACTGGGCAGCGTCAACAGCAGCGCAGTGAACAGCGTTGACAACGTGACAACAACGCCCAGAATGACAGACAAAAGGTTGCCGTCCTTGTCGGGCGAGGTGTAGTCGTCGAACATTTTGGTGTTGTGTTAGTGCTGTCCAATTGCAAGGCGGCTCGGGCAACCGTGGCAGCCGCCGCGTGCGTCAACGCCAAGGGCTAGCCACGAGATGCGGAGATCTGAGCCGGGGTAGGACCGAAAGGGGAAGGCGCTCAATGACAGTCATGTCAATCTGTAAGACCCCTGAAACTTATTGATAGTGCCGCAACGCGCGCCGTTATCGAGACACCAAGACGCCAAAGCGCTGCGTAGCCTCATTGCAGCACACTCACGCTTGCTGGCTGCGATTCACGTTGCTTTTTCCCCTCCAACACCGCCATCTCAAGGCAATTGAGCACCGTTTCATCGCGCATCGCGAGCCCCACTCGGCCAATTACCTTCACCGAGTCAAGACGACCCCATAGCGGGCGGACGAACGTGGCGTTGCGAATGGCGTCGACGTATGCGCTGCCTATCGCGCCCACCTCACACACACACAGCCATGGCCGCTCGTCGTCACAGTACACACCGGATCCCTCGTCGTACTCGAATGGCACCGTGAACGCTTCATCGCCCGCGAAAGACCACGGCCATCGACACACGCGGTCTGATATGAACGGCAACGGGCATCTGCAGGGCGCTGTGCGCTCGCCGTATGCCGAGTACAACAGCCCTGCGCATGAGCATGAGCACGGGCATGAGAGGTCCGGCTCCAACGATTCCACCTACACGCTGAAGCCTTTCTCGAATGGAAGACCGAAAGGGCGGGCGCGGGGTGAATCGGATCTGGGTCGCTCACCGGCAAGGAAGACACCTGCCGTTGAGAAGTATGGCTTCTCACCGGTATCACCCATACAGGAGTCTCCAGCGCATGTGCCTCCTCCTCCTGTTTCTTCGTAAGGACTACTCAGATGATCAAGAGAACCACAGCTAATAAACTGCCTAGATCATGGCTAGAACTCCCCGAAGCCCTTACCGCGCTCCTAATACCTCTCCCGTATCTTTTCGCCGCATTAGCATACCCCAGCGGCGTCAGACCGCCTTCCGAGCTACCGTCGAGTCTATCAGAAGCCGTAGCAGAGAAATCGCCCGAACTCGAATACGCGACCGCAACTAGTGGCTTCCCATTACTACGTGCGCTCGCTCTCTCGTCTGGGACGCTGCTGCTGGTCGGTGTAATAGCCAAAGTCAACTCCAGTCTACAGCCACTCGACAGGCGGAAGGAGGAGAAGGGCACTTTCAATATCAGCAATGCGCCGAAACGCGTGGCAAGCAATATACTCGGCGTCCTACTGCCGTTCTACGCATCTCTACACATAGGAGGAGCGAAGACAGCCTTAGCCATGTTAGTAGCAGTCGCTGCAGGCATTGGTGCCCTAGACCAGAAGCCAGGGAAACACACACCTTGGGACGATATTCGACGAACATTGAGGACCAGGAAGGTGACCTGCGGGGCCCTTCTCTTGGGCATGACGGCTGACATATATACCTCTGGCAACGTCACAGGCAGCCTGATCGGCTATTTGGCCCTTCTCGTATCGCTACTCCTGGTCCCTCCGCCTCTTCCCACAGCAGGCTGGTCATTGATGACCGGACCAAAGAGTCAAGACTCATACATGACTCAAAAGCCATCTCGCGCATCGCTGCCCAAGCCCTCTTCACTACTAGTGAACAGTACCGAGAATCAGCTACTCACTATTGCTTCAGGCCTTATACTCACTGTCACAACTATTCTGTATTCACTTGTTTCTTCTGCCACGCCCTCTTTGTCGCATCACACCCTGGGCTTCTCAACTTTATCGGTTGCATCCACTACGGCGCTCGTTTTCCTGTCACTTCCCGCATCATTACGGAGTCAAAAGCAGGTTGGATTGAGATTGAGTGGCATTCTCATCTTCGCACTGAGCTTCTTGGAACACCAGGCTCTTAGTCATTTCAACATCGCGTTCCCTTGGGTTTGCGCTATGCTAATCGCGGCGGTCGCCGTCGACACTCGTTCTTCTGTACCCCATTCGCACGATCATGGACATGCAGGACACAAGCATTCGCATGGTCATGACCACGGCCATAATCACGATCATCATCTTCATGGAAATCATTCTAGGATATCGGCATTCCTCATTGCGCGCGCGACTCCAGGCTCGATTGTGCATAGCGTGCTGATCGAGCGAGATTCGCGACGCATTGCGTACTTTGGCGTGTATGTCCACTCCTTTCTGCTCCGCAGACTCTACACTCCAAATTAGCTTGACTAACTTTAACAGGCTCAACCTTTCCTTCATGATGGTTCAATTCTTCTACGGTTTCGTCAGTGGATCCTTGGGGCTGCTCACGGATAGTATCCACATGCTCTTCGACTGCGCTGGTCTCGCCGTGGGACTTGCAGCAGCAGTGATGAGCAAGTGGCGCCCCAACGCCCGCTTCCCGTACGGCTATGGCAAGGTCGATACGCTGTCTGGCTTTGCAAACGGCGTCTTCCTTCTGTAAGTCACTCTAATGTATGCTTCACGTATGTGCTAATCAGAAGCAGGTTGGTCAGTTTGGAGATCATCTTCGACGCTTTTGAACGCCTCTGGGAAGGCCACGAACTCCAGCGCCTCAATGAGCTTTTGATTGTCAGCATTCTTGGTTTCATCGTTAATATCGTGGGCCTTGTAGCCTTTGGCCATGCGCACCACGGCCATGGACACGATCATGATCACGGACATGAGGGCCATGACCATGGACATGGCCATTCCCACGATAACGAGAATATGCAGGGAATCTTTCTGCATATCCTTGCCGACGCACTTGGCTCTGTTGCAGTCATCATATCTACCCTTCTTACAAAGTACTATGGTTGGTCTGGATGGGATCCGATTGCGTCCTGCATTATCGCGATCCTGATCTTCTTGTCAGCGATCCCGCTTGTCAAGTCGAGTGGCGCAAGACTCATGCTGAGCCTGCCCAACGACCTCGAGTATAGCATTAGGAATACCTTGGGCGAACTGGGCACATTGAGAGGCGTTGTCGGATACACGGTACCCAAGTTTTGGCTCGAGGACGAAGGTGCTGCGCACGCAGAAGCACACGCAAAAGAAGATCATGATTGTGGAGGCGGCCATAAGCATGATGACCATCCGCACGATCATCACGAGCATGATCATTCGCATTCACACGATCACAGCCACGGCCACTCTCACTCGCATTCACATGACCACGCACACTCTCACGACCACGGCCATGACCACGGACATGCGCATTCACACTCGCATGATCATCACGACCACGACCACGACCATAGCCACGCACCCAAGCAACGCCGCATTCTCGGCGTAATCCACATCATTGCCAACCGCATGGCAGACCCAGAAGACGTGCGTGAGCGCTCGCATCAGTTCCTGAAGGACCGGGGTATGGATGTAGTAATACATGTCGAGAAAGAAGGCGAGGGACGGTGCTGGTGTGGAGGTGGAAGTGAATACAAGGTCAACTGAGCATCCGTTGCGGAGCTACAGCTTGTTTTTCGACAGTTTTGCTTGCATGCATGGTAGCAGGTAGAGAGGCTGTATAGTAAGAGAGTCGGGTAAGGCTTGTATATCACGATATAGACAGAATGATCTTGGGGTCATTAATGCGTTTCTGTGTCGATGGAATACTCATGGAACTGGTAAAAGGCGATTCTTTGGTTTTTCCCCGCCGAAATTACGATGTAGTTCGTAAATCGACGGAGAAGTACCAAAGAATTGCGTTCTACCAATTCCATGAGTATTCCATCGATGCGGGCGCAGATCCCAATCAGATTTTTTTTGAACTTCCTGTGACGAACAAATCTCTTAAAGTGCAACGTGTCAGTTTGTATTAAGAAGTTGGAACCAGTTTGATTGAAATATCTCGGTTCGAAATATCCAATGTTGGGCTTGGGCCAATGCCCGGGTGTATCGCGAAGCCGCTTAGTCACGCAAGTCATGATGATGCTGACAAGGTACAGCGCGTCGCGAGCTTGAGCAGAGAACGCGACTCAAGGACTTTACGCCCGTTCATACTTGTCCGATGAGTTTGAAGATTTCATCACTTACCAATCATGTCAATGCGCACGCGTGCGCAATGTCAGTATTACGAGGACGACGTCATGGATGCTTCCTAAGCAATAGCTTGGGAAGAAATCGCTCTCCACATGCATCTGGCCGCATATAACCCCTCCATAACGCGCTGAAGCTACCCCTCTTCATGTCACTACTCCGACCCTCAATCTCCTCACAACTCCGACAATTCACACGTCTCTCTGCCCAAACGCGCAAACCTCTCCGATCGCAATTCCACAGCTCACAACCGCTACTTCGCATACTTCCCGAAATGGCTGACGGCGAACCCACCGGACTCAAGGCGGACAAGGGCATCGAGCTGCTTACCTTCGGCACGCCCAATGGATGGAAGGCTAGCATTCTGCTCGAGGAGCTCAAGGAGGCCTACGGAAAAGACTACACATGGCAGAGCATCAACATCTCGAAGAACACACAAAAAGAGCCTTGGTTCACGAAGCTCGGTCCCAATGGACGCATCCCGTAAGCAATGCCGCCCTACGAACCGCTTGAGACGTGTACTGACCATGGACGCCAACAAATAGTGTAATCGTCGACCACGACCAGGGTGGCTTCGCTGTCCAAGAAGGTCTCTCAATCCTCACGTACCTCACGCGCCACTACGACCCCGAACACAAGTTCAGCTTCAGCGACCCCCTCGACGTCTCGCGCGCAGAACAATGGATGGCATGGCAACACGGCGGCCTTGGTCCCATGCAGGGCCAGGCCAACCACTTCAACCGCTTCGCCAAGGAGCGCATTCCCTATGCCATGCAGCGTTACACAGGCGAAACCGAACGTCTGGTCGGCATCCTCGACTCGCACCTCGCCAACACCGACTATCTCGTAGGCAACAAGTTCAGCATTGCAGACATTGCCAGCTTTGGATGGGCCCACATGCTCCGCTTCTCTGGCATTGATCTCGATTCATTCCCGAACGTGAAGAAGTGGTTGGAGCGCATACAGGCACGACCTGCAGTTCAGCGCGGCTTGGACATCCCAAGCAAGAGCGGCTTTGGAAACGACACGTACTTGCAGAAGTTGAAGGATGACAAGGAGTTTGCGGAGAAGGAGAACAAGCTCACGGAGCAGATCAAGGCTGCTAAGGAGCAATATGGCTACAAGTACTCCAGTCCTTAGACACTTTTGTGTCTTTGGCATGCTGGATAACTGTACGTGAGCGTGGTACAAACTGTGGGTGATTAAGATCCCGTGAATAGAACAATATTACTCTTCATACAGATACCGCTTGTGCCACCGCAGCGACGTCTTGAAATACATAGCTTTCAGGCGCCGAAACTGTCAACCTATGATACAGTCCAATGTTGCTCGTCGAACGCCATTTCCTGCGACAGCGAAGTTACCTCGGACTTCACGGTAAGTTTCATGATGCAGATGCTGGTGTATTGCTAGCGAATCACATTGTGAAACATCCCTGCTCTCGACGCAACGCTACTTGAGGTCCACTACGTCAGCGTCGGCGCCTCAAACAGGGTCACCAGAACCACACGTTCACAACGCGCTGGACGTGTGGTCAGGCGCCAACGCATGGGTTGACGCTTCCGATGCCACGAAGTACTTCACGGTCTGATTTAAAAGAGGGGCGATGGAGAGGCGAATTATGTGTTTCCAGCGTCGCATCTTGTTCTTCTCACGTCTCATTCTCATCACCGCCGGCTTTGACAGTCGCGGGACATTCCCTTGGTACTTCCCTTCTATCGCGCCTTGCCTATCTACAGTATCGTTCCAGTAGCGTCTATACCCCTTTTATCGCATATCTTCCAAATAGCCTTGCTGTCACACCTTCTCTTTGCCGATCCTTCCCAATCCGCACCGAAAGAGCGCGTGCACAGATTTAATTAATCCCTGGAAGCCACATCCCACCCCGGGATCAACCCCCGACGTCATCGCGCTTGGAAGGAAGAGGGAACGGTGACATTGTCAAGACCCTGAAGTTCCCAGGGTCCAAAAGAAACCTTGTGTGCCAACGAGGTTTAGCACGCCCAAGTTACAGCGCAGCGGTGTTGTTTCGGTCACAGTACGAGAGACGACTTGTTTAATCACCGCGGTTCACAACTATTTCTTCTTCCCCGCTCTATCCATTGCGACTACTCCAACGACCGAGATCCTCTGCGAAACACCGAAGATCGAAGAGAGACATCTGCGCACGACGTTTAAATCGACAAACTCTACAAAGTCGCGCATCGCATCTACAATAGGTAAGACATTATCTACCTGTCTCACACCAATCCATACACACATATAGACCCAGTCCTCGAGCCCAGCTAACGCAAGATGCTCAGTGTCCTAGCAGCTATGGGCTTCAAATTCCTCTCGCGTAGCACTCTCCGGGGCGAGAAAGCCACTCTAGGAACCTCGCTCGGCGCGTCCCTCACCCCAACAACCATCCTGCGCCTCGTCTTGCGCTTCTTCCAATTCGTCATGGGCCTCACTGTTATCGGACTCTACGCCGTGGACCTGGACAATGCGCGCAAACAAGGGAAATACGTCGACTCGAAATGGGTGTGGGCTGTTGTATGCGGCACACTCGGTGCGCTTTGCTCCCTCCTCGCCATGCTACCGCTCATCAAGGCGTGGTTCTTTTTCGCCGTTGATGCGCTAGTCTTCCTGTGCTATCTCGTTGCGTTTGGCATCTTTGGCAAGATGTTCATTGGGGAGAACCCAGAGGGAAACAAGGGTATCACCAGGATGAAGAATGGGGTGTGGGTGCTACTGACGAACATGCTGCTTTGGTTCATTTCCGCGGTCATTGGGGGTATCATGTTCTGGAAACACTTCAAGGCAAGGACTACGCATACTGGCCGTGGCGCTATGCACGTCTAAAGCCCCTACTCCTATCCTACCCTTCACGTGAGGGACTGGGAATGAGAGGTGTGCTGACAAGATGTGCTGTTTGCAGAAGTTCCGGATCAGCTTTGAATTCGACAACGGAAACGGCGATGATGCGTCCTGGCTTCATGCGCCCAAGACGGTTGCTTAGGGGCCACAATCGTCAACATCAAGAGCTTGTTCCAGCGTGGACGGTACGACCAAGTCTCACAGTCTAGCCGTGTCGGATGAAACCCGTCCTCCGTCGCTCGTACAGTCAACACACCCTCCAACACACTACTCCAGAAGTTTTCTTCCTCTTCCCACGATTCCTTGCACTGCCTGTTGCAAACACCAGCACCATCCCTCGGTCTTTCGAAATCAGCGTTGTATTTCTGCGCCTTTACCAAATGTATCCGCGCCCACGCCCCCGCCCACGTACCACACGAACCCCACCACCACTGCATGTTCCACAGCGTCCACGAGTAATGAGGAGAGAGTTGTTGGAGATGACACGGACGAGGTCTCTGCGGATTCTTTTCATACTTGGCTTTCTCATTTCCCTGATCATTCGATACCCTCTGTTTTCCGCGAAGCGCTGTCCTGAGCAATGCATTCATTTAGTTAGCAGTATCACTGGTAACATCATTGAACAATCTTATGAAACAACTATACCAAACTATGTATCCGTGTTGTGATTCATGATCGTCAAGATATGACATTGTAGGCTTATGTATATGTCTAAAGCGCGAGGTAGCCGAAGTGAGATACATGATACATATATGTTCGGAGAACTTATGAAGTTCATGTTTCCATACTAGCACACTTCATTGAGGACAGAGTAATGGTGTGTCACAACTCGGCCATGGAACTGTGTGGCCTATGTTTGAGCGATGCACGAATACTTTCGAACTCAGGGTACAAAGAAGACGTGACCAGGAAGTACACAAAGGTCGGCAATGGCACTGAAGGCTGAAGTGCTAGATGTGCAAATGGACGCAAAAGTTCATACGAATGTTTTCCAGTATCATAATCACACAGCGTCACTGCAAAAAGGTTGTGAGTTTGTAGAGTTAAAGGATTTATTGGTATCTCATATCCATTATCATGGGGCTATCATGAACCCGGCGAGAGTCGTAGTGCTCATCGCTTAAACCATAGTGGTATCGTTCTGAACCTTGTGATTGTTAGAGAGGTGCCAAAGAAGGACGGGTGTGGACCACATACCGAAGTGAAATGTCGAACCGGTGCTCAAGTACTGAGTACTTAGATGGAGCGCTTGTTGGCCTCAGCGGAGCCCTCGTGCTTCTCCTGGTTCATCTTGTCGGAAGCAGCGTTCAGGGCACCGGAGGCACGGTCGGTGAGGGAGTCCTGGCCAGGGACGTTGCCCTTAGCCTGCTGCTTGTTGGCCTCCTTGTTGGCCTCAGCGGACTGGCCCTGGACGGTCTCGGCGACGTAGTTGGCGGCGTTCTTGACAGAGTTGACGGCCTGGCCGACGATGCCCTCGTTGGGAGTGTTGGCGTTGGGAGCAGACATTTTGAAGTGTTTGGGGTTTGAGGGGTTTGGTTTGGAAGAAGTGGTAGTGTAGATGAGGTGATGAAGGCTTGTTGTGTGATGGAGGAAGCAAAGGGGAGACGGGTGAGGGTATTTATGTAGAGCAAGAGGGGTAGGTGAGGGAGGCTAGTGAGGGGCTGAGGGCTGAGCGCTAGGCTCCAACAGAGTGCAAACAAACATACGTCACTGTTTCCGGTGGTGAGTGACGTCACACAGGAGGGCCCATGGAATGAGGGCCAGACCACGCAAGCGCGATGGGGTATCCGCAGCCACGAACCATCACATGCAATGCACAAACCCACGCAAGAGAGTGGCACTTTTTGAAAATTCCGCTGTCGATCGTGGATTATCATGCAAATCGCGTCATGGGCGAATGGACAATCATCTGGCATTCGCTGCGTGCCTGAATGATGCCCCTCTATTGCCCCGCCGGTGACGTCAGATCGTGTACCGCGGCTTGCTTCAAGACAGCAGCCCAACAAAGCACGCAAACGCTTGCCGCAAAGAAGCCACACTTACGCTGTCACGCGCTCCTGTTTCAGCCCGAGGATAGGCGGTAGCCGCAGCAATGCAGGGCCAGCTGAGATCCGAGGGGGTCGGTTCCGGAAGGTGCTTGTTCCCGGAGGAGTCTACTCCGCTGGCGGTGCTGCATACTGTGGCCTGGAAGCAGACATGTTGCCATACTCTGACAGCCAACACGTCATACGTAGTCCTCATCGAGATGTCTCCACCCGGATCCAGTGACCTGGCAGATCCGCCAAGTGGGGGTAGCTGTAAGGACAGATCTTCTTCCCGTGCCTTGCTTGACTACATGTTGTGGACACATGCTACGTCTGCGTACGAGAAATCCAACACCCACCAGCAAACACACAAAGACAATCGCAGATACGGCACACAAGCGTCATGGATTCAACCGTATGAAGAAGGGGATTAATTGCCGCTGTGAGCGGATGATCTAATACCTCTATGGTACCAAAAATCTAAACCGAGAAACTTGGAACGAGCGATGCGAAGGGAATCGTGACAGCGCCTGTACCAGCAAGCCCACTGCCACTCGTGCAGTCGTCCGTCGTTGGGTATCGTAACTTAAAGGATGGTACAATGCGGTCGGTGTCCCCGGCGCTTAGGCCTTCCAGTATGCGTCCGCGACCTTGGGCCAGGTCTCGGTGAATCGGGTGGGGCCATGCGCTGCCGTTCCTGTTGATCTTTGCGGATGATTTGCCTGCAGAGGTCGACAAAGGCTTCATCCACATTGGCTCTTCTCCGAGCACTGGTTTCAAAGTACGGTATGTTCCACTCACGGGAAATTGCAAAGGCGCGTGGGCGTGGCACTGCTCGGTCTTCTTCTAGATCTGACTTGTTGCCGATGAGGACCATGGGAACGTTGCTATCTTCCTTTATTCGTCGTATTTGCTCCCGAAGCTCTGCCAGTTCCCAGAACGACGATGCCGATGTTATGCTGAAGACGAGAAGGAACCCTTGACCGGTTTTCATATACAGTTCCCTATGGGGGTGTAAGTCGTAAGCTGGTATGGGACTCGAATGGTGTATTACCTCATAGCAGCTACTTTTGGTTAGTCATGGGTCGCGTGTGCATGGGCGGCTGTAGATACTCACTGAACTGTTCGGTGCCTGCAGTGTCCAGGATCTCCAGAATGACATGACGGCCCTTCAGCGGGTCAGCAACAGGGTAGTGCAGGAGGGTGGAAGCACACTCACGTCAACATCAAGCACCTTTCGGTATGAATCTTCAATGGTAGGATCGTAACTCTCTATCCATACATTCTGCACGAATTGTGCTGTGGACAAGTCAGCGCTGCTGTGGTGTTGGCGAGTACTCGAGGCGGTAACCTTACCTGTTAGGCAGCTCTTTCCGACTCCACCTAAGGCGCCACTCTCGTCAGTTGTGACCTAGTTGCTGACGGTGTCTAACTAGCTTACCAGAACCTAGGACGACTATGTGGTACTCCCGTTGCGACATGCTTCAGATTTGCGTGGGCAGCTTGCAGCGAGGCCAGGAGGTTATTGACGAGAAGTGCTCCTCGCCTCCTGTGGCGGTGGGTGCCACAGAGGGATGAGCGGCTCAAAGCCGCCGCCGTCTAGTAAAGGCTAAGGAAGTCGACTCGTCGTGCTGCCTGGACACTGCGTCGGTCTGTACCAGAGGGCTGAGTCGGCGGTGCGCGTCGTACTGCGCTCTGGGCCAACCACACTCGTCAGCGCATCGATTTCCAAACCAAGCCACGTCCAATCAGACAAAAGCAGCCTCGAATGCAGCAGGCGACGAGCCACAGAGGCAAAGCGACTGCATGCATGCGCGGGGCAAGTTTGTGTAACGCACCTGTTTGACGCGCCGAGGTTGGGGGCTGGGGAAGATTTTTCCGTCACGTGAAGGGCGAGGTGGGAGAAGGAAACGGCGTCGCGATAATCAGGGAGCAAGCAGCGACAAAGAGGTAGCGAAGAAAGGCACATGCATGCAGTAGACTTGGTAGGGCTTAGCAGGAGATATGCCAGGTGTTCGGCTCTGGGGTGCAGCCCGTACAGCCCGTAATTATGCCAAAAAACAAAGCGCCGAGATGCTGCGAGAGAGAGGGAGACGAGGTCGTCGCGGCCAGTCGCGAAACAAAGCCAGGGCGCCGGGACAAGCTCCAATCTATGATAGCGTGGCCCTCTGATCGAGTCGTGCACAAGAAGGGTTCGCAAGGCTGTCGAGCAAGCATCCTGTCGACGTAATAATCGCCCATGGAGAGCCTCCCGCTTCCCCGACGCCGCCTGAACTGAGTCGTGAAGAGCCTGGGCTGGCGGTTGGGGTTAAGGAGCAGGGAATCCAATAAGGGTCCCGTGATCTGGAGCAGGCCGGGCACGTGCGCCCTGGCACTGCAGACGTGTGAGGGCAGCCGACACAGGGCGCATGGGAGCCGAACGACGACGACGCCGACGACAAGCTCCAATTCCACCCGACCATGCGTTTTAGTGCTGCTGTCGCCATTGCAGCATGTCTCGCGCCGGCTGCGGCCATCTTCGAGGACGATGCCTTCCACATTGATTTCCACTATGCCCTGCTAGGCCTGCCTGCCCCAGAGGCCACCTTCTTCCAGAAGCCCTATGCGGGCTCCAAGGCATCGCTCCTGTACTCGATATCGCAGAACCAGACCATCGGCGCCATCAACCCCAAGGATGGCGCGCTCGTCTGGCGGCAGCACCTGGCCTCGCAGCCCGGCCACCGCGGACATTTGCGTTCAGGCAACGAGCAGGACACCGTAATCAGCGCTATCGGAGACCGCGTCACGTCATGGAGCGCTTCCGACGGCCGTCTCGTGTGGGACACCAGCCTCGGAGGGGCTGCAGTCGAGGATCTGGAGATACTAGAACAGGAAGATGGCATGACCATCAGCGCGGCCAAAGACGCCATTGTCCTGGCTACCGACAGCAGCAACAGCGTCAAGAGGCTTGACGGCAAGACTGGGCGCGTCAAGTGGACATACGAGGATACGAGGTGGCTATATCAATCAATGGCAATATGACAGACACTGACAGGCCACAGCGGAGACACGCCTTTTCAGGTCTCGACCTCGCCGACAACCATCTACTACATCGCCCTCCACGCGCCCTTGCTTGGAGGCTCCAAGCTCCGAGTCACGTCGCTCAACCCCATCACAGGAAAGAAGCTCGACCAGTACACCCTCAACTCGGACACAGAGATCTCCTCGCGCGACCGTATCCTTTTCGCCGGAGCCAACACGGCTGCCCCACTATTGGCTTGGACCGACAAGGCGAACAAGGTGCTGAAGGTGAACATTATTGGCACCAAGGCTGTGTCGACCTTCAACACGCCGGGCGACGAAGTCATCGAGAACATCGTTCTCCATGCTCCCAACCACATCAATTCGCTCGCCCACTTCCTCGTCGAGTACCAGACTGCCATCGGCCATTCTGCTGAAGTCTACCACGTCGACCTCAACAAGCAAACCGTTTCCAAAGCCTACAGCCTCCCGGAGCTGAGGACAAAGGGAACTTTCACCACAAGCACATCTGATGCCAACGTCTACTTCACCAGGATTACTGAAGATGAAGTGACAGTTTTCTCTTCCGTCTCGCACGGTGTCTTGGGTCGCTGGACTGTCAAAGGCTCTCCGGCACTTGCGGGCGCCTTCCCTGTGCATGGCCAATCTGAAGTTGTTGTAAAGTCAGGAGCCGCCAGCGCTGTGCGATCGGCCGTTCTGTACTCCAACGGACAGTGGGCACTCCTGCGAAACGATGAAGTCGCTTGGACCCGGCCCGAATTCTTGTCCGGCGCAGTCTCCGCAGTCTGGGCTGGTCTGCCCGAACAGGAGGCCCTGGCACAAGCACTTGCTGACGAAAGCCATCGCAACCCTGTTTCTGCTTATATCCACCGTGTGCAGAGGCATCTCCAGGATCTGCAATACTTCCCCGCGTGGGCGCAGAGCATTCCCCAGCGCCTCTTGAGTAGTGTGCTTGGCAAGACAAAGGAGACAACAGTCGACGATATTCAACAAGACACTTTCGGTTTTCACAAGCTTGTTGTCGTCGCCACTAAGGCGGGCCGCCTTGCTGCCCTCGATGTCGGTTCGCGAGGTAAGGTGATGTGGAACGTGGATCTTGGCCAGTTCGCGCCCGACACGAGCTTCCAACACCCGACTCTCAAGGCTCACAGCGGCTATGTTGAAGTAAAAGACGCCAGCTTCCAGGGGTCAATGTTCATCAATTCGACAACTGGTGGCCTCATCACTTCCGACAAAATCAAGCTTGAGCCTTCCCTAGTTGCTGAGGGGCAAAGCCTTATTGCATTTACCTTAGTGGACGGCACTCTGAAAGGATATCTGGAAAGCCAGCCTGGTTCCGAACCAGTGTGGAGCTTTACGCCACCTGTCGAGGAGAAGATTGCCAGCTATGTCGCTCGCCCGATCAAGGACCCTGTTGCGTCTATCGGCAAAGTACTAGGCGACAGGAGGGTACTGTACAAGTACCTGAACCCAAACCTCGTCCTAGTCACAACAGTGGTGGAGTCCGCGCGATCCGCGTCCGTCTATCTGCTTGATTCTGCATCTGGGCAAGTACTACATACTATGTCACACAACGATGTCGATACCACACGACCCATTCCAGCCACTATCTCAGAGAACTGGTTCGCGTATGCGCTGACTATCGATGCTGCATCTGGCGCTTCTTCCCGCGGCTACCAGCTCGTCGTCTCTGACCTTTACGAATCCCCCCTCCCCGACGACAGGGGTCCATTGGGCGATTCGTCTAACTCTTCTACCGTGAAACCTTTGGGTTCGAACGGCGACGCTGCGAAGCCTTATGTACTATCGCAGAGTTATCAAGTACCAGCAGAGATTACACACATGAGTGTCACACAGACCAGACAGGGCATCACCAGTCGTGAGCTCCTCGTCACTCTACCCGCACTCAACGCTATAGTTGGCATTCCACGCATGGTGATTGACCCTCGCCGACCCGTCGGTCGTGAGCCTACTGCGCAGGAAGCGTCTGAAGGTCTGGTCAAGTACACACCCCTCATCAACTTCGACCCGAAGTGGCACCTTACCCACAAGTACGAAGTCTTAGGTATCGAAGATATTATCACGAGTGAGAGTGGAATCGAGAGTACTTGCCTGGTCTTTGCCTATGGCTTGGATATCTTCGGAACACGGGTCGCACCCAGTTTCTCGTTCGATATCCTAGGCAAGGGCTTCAACAAGATTTCTATGCTTTTGACCGTTGTTGGACTGTTTGTCGGAGTCTTGTTCGTTGCGCCTTTGGTAAGTCTACCCTCTATACTTTTCCGCGCATTGTTGTGTTACATGGCATACTAATCAGCACTCTAGGTCAAGCGAAAGCAGATCAACGCCATGTGGACGACACTATGATCGGCTATCAAACGATAGCTTCGTAAGAGAAGCAGCATCGAACATATTCAGGTCTCGGAGAGACTTCCTAACACACACGCACGCTTGGTGCTCACGCTGCAGAGCTGCATCAGCCTAGTAGCTCCCACGATCAGCACGGCTTACTGAGCCCTCTTGATCGAGGTCACGATACCTCATACAACGCATGTTGAAATGAATAATCAAGTCAATGCTCACTTTTTGACACTCAATTGTGATGATGTAATGCATGACGGCTATACCCGCATATACATATGACCTTATCTCCGTTCATATCCATGCAAGAAATTGACGGGCACGTTTGTACCTTTTTCCAATGACGTCGAGCAGAAGTAAAACGGGTGGAGAAACCACGCTATATACTTAGGAGCTAGCAACGCGATTTGTTCATCGCGGAGATAACAACGGTAACTACACGTCAGGCACAATGATGCAAATGCCGTTGTGGAGATCTGCGTATATATACCACTAACCATGCTGCTAATGTGGGGAACAGTGTAATACACGGCTCTCTATCTTCATCGGCCTGTACTACCTCAATATTTATCACAGCAAAAACCGATCGTGCGACCAATAACTAAACAACCGGCATACTACCTACACTCTCCCCATCTCTCAACACACACCCTCAACCGCCCAAACCATGACCGACC